TATATATATATATATATAATCCAGAGAAAGTACATTTTTGTGACTGATTTCGCAATTTAATTAATAATTGACACTAAATAGCACTAATTTATATTATTAATAGCATGCTATGTTCTGCAAGGTGCAACCCAAAAAATAAATACGGGTGATATTTTACACAAATATAGTCAAATAAAAGATAACACTCAAAATATGGCAAACCTTGCACTTTATTTATGCTTACTTTATTTATTTAATTTCTGACATTTACTTTAGGTTCACAACAAGTTAGAATTTATAAATTACAGGAAACTCTTTCAAATGGTAAAATTACTAGCAAATTTAAACATAAATCACATTAATAAGACTTCCTAGAATATTAAACCTGTATACACATCGCCTTGTAAGTATAACATAAGTGGAGGGATACAACGGAAGTTTTCTAAATATCTTCCGGTTTGAGAAAGTTTGTAATTGTTTGCATTCAGTCAACCATCCATAACATTAGCCCATCCAACATTTTTCCATTTTCTGCAACTCTTCCTAAACTATCGCTATCGTGCAAAGCGTTTACTGCTTCTGTGTAGTTATGGCGCAGACATTTAAGTGAATAAAAATAATTTAATTAATGACCACTTTATTTTTAAATTAAATATTATAACTAAATATTAAATATTAGATATTATATAGATTAAATATTAAAGCTAATTAATGTTACCCCAATGCTCAGATTTGACTCAGATTTTAACAGAGGGTTCACAGCCAACACTCGAATCTTTTTTTCTTGCTAATGCCAATTAGTCTCAATTGTTATTTTCAGATCATCAGAAGATGGAGTGAGATGCCCGCTTCGCGGGCAGGTACTCTGCTACAATACATATCAAGTCAATGTTACGTCTGAAAATATCTGCCTATCTCTCTTCTTCTATGATTGAACGCTGTAGCATAATAAATAATTTGGAATTCATCTTGTCCGAAATACATTTTAACGCTCAATAATAAGATTTAAATAGCCTCTTGTAGACTTAATGAATGTGTAGTGTTTAATGAATTGATATAAATTACTCTCGTTCTATAATTATTTTCATTTCTCTCAGCAAGTGTGCTTTCTATAATTGCAAATACATCAATTAGGATAATATTATTTAAACATCAGTGGTCGCTGAATCAAAAAAAAAGTTCGACTTGCTTTGATGATTTGTTAAAATATTTCAGGTGAGCCATTGACAACCCTGCAAAATTAATTCATTATACATATTTTATTCCATTTTCAGCCATGACGTATAAATGCTCGATTATTTATTATTTTTATTTATTTATTATTATTACTGTTATTTTTAATTTGTCAGAGAAATAAAAGCTTAAAAATAAAAAAAATCTCCAAACATGAACAGATTTCTTTATTCGTTCTACAATAATGTGCATATGGTCATTGTTTAAAGCAAAAGATGAAAAGAAAATCCTGCAGATAAAAAGACCAATTTAAAGTGCTATAATGCTCGAAAATAATGATATGTAATATTGATAGACAGTAGATGTCAATTATATCAACGAAAATGGCCATTTCAGCATGTCATATTTCAAATCCACAGCTGCATTTTTCTGACTGCGAAGTGGCCCGCGACGTATTTTCTTTTTACTACTATTTTAACATTAAACAGTTCTCGACCAAATTAAAGAATGTTGACGTTAATTCTTCCATCGTAATCCTAGTATATTTTTCACTCATTAACGAGGGTTTCTAATTTTAAGTAGCAAAACAAAATATAACGTACCATCGAACACCCAAAACAACGGTTGCGATGAGGTTTGCGACTTTTTAATATAAAGAGATAAAAAAAAACTAACATAAATTAAGAAAAAAATTGCAAATTATACACCTAACGAGGGGGGATAATTACTT